AAAGAGTTGGACAGGCCTGAAGCAACCTGGCACGTGTGTGGCCGAGCCGAGCAGGAGAGCCTGGCGGGCTCCCTCTGGGCATTTGTACCAATGTCACTGCCCTAACTGGGCTTTCCCCAGTGTCAGCATCCCTCACAGTAAGGGTTATATAATATATTAACTGGAGGGTAATTACTTTACAATATTGTGATGGTTTTTGCCAGACATCAGTATGAAGCGGCCATAGGTATACATGTGTCCCCTCCATCCTGAACCTCCCCTCCCACCTCCAATCCCACCCTATCCCTCCAGGTTGTCACAGACCACTGACTTGGGTGCCCTGCATCATACATTTTTATTAACTGCATGCTAGTTGGATTGAGCCCCTATTTTCTTTCTTTTTTTTTTTTTGCCCCACAGAATGGCCGTGGAGCTTCCCCAACCTAGGATCAAACCAGTGCCCACTGCATTCGAAGGGCAGAGTGTTAACCATTGTACCATCAGGGAAATCCTGAAAGGGAACATTTGTGACCTAAAAAAGACATCCTATAGTACCATCTCAGCCTAAAGAGGAGTCATCACGGATGTCATCAGGACCACGTGGGGCCACAGCCCCATGGAGTGTGGCTTTGTTTACTACGAAGAGAAAAAGGGACCAGCTTTTAAAGGGCATTTCATGTTCAGCACAGGGGTAGTCCTAGTACCAGGAGCATCAAAGTCTTTATCAGTTCAGTTCAGCCCCTCAGTCGCGTCCGACTCTTTGCGACCCCAAGGACTACAGCAGTCCAGGCTTCCCTATCCATCACCGATTTCTGGAGCTTGCTCAAACTCATATCCATCGAGTAGGTGATGTCATCCAACCATCTCATCCTATGTCGCCCCCTTTTCCTTCTGCCTTCAATCCCCTTCTCCTCCTGCCTCTACTTTATAAAAGGGAGCAATTTCACATTGATGCTTGAGGGGTTCAGTTTTGTGGAAGGCCCTCAAGGTTTCAAGAAACTTCACTCAGCGAAAAAGCCTCTGGGTATTGCAATTGTTGTTCATTCACGCCTGCACTATTGATAACACAGAAGGCGGAGCAATTAGATAGAAACCTTTGGCTTCCCAACCAACCAACATCACCTACACATGAAAACACTAGACACTGTTGTCAGTATATTGTGGCAAGTCCCTTCCACTGTATGTTGATATATTATTGAATACAGATGCACTGATGACAGATGAATTCTGTCTGTAAACCCTACCACAATCACATAAAAAGAATTTTAAACAGAAGTACAAATAGTAGGCCGAAAGTGGACATAAAACAGAATTATAAAAAAAAAGTCCAAAGGGGAACTCTCTGGCTATCCAGTGGTTAGGACTTGGTGCTCTCAATGCCAGAGTCTCGGGTTCAATCCTCGTTCGGAGAACTAAGATCCTGCAAGCCAGGATCTTAAAAAAAAAAAAAAAAAAATCTAAAGAAGACAGAAAAGGGAGAATAAGGTACTAACTGAATGAATAAAAGCGTTTTGAGATATGATTAAACTCCAGATGTGTCAATGATTACGTAATACAAGTGGTCTTGTGTTACCCAGAGTTTCTAGTTTCTGTATCTAATGTTTTCACATCTCAGTGCCCCAACCAGGGTTAGTAGATACCTGGAGACCACACACTCTCTCCCTCAGCCCGCCTCTCACATGCAAACTGACCAGCACCTCCGTCCCACCCTTTCTATCACTGAGACTCTAAGTCTCTGTCCTAGTAACCCCAGGGCCAGGTACCAACAAATCAGGGAGCCCCCACACCCACACCAGCCCACTGAAATTACTCAAGCTAATCCATCCTCAACCTGGTCTCACCCTCCCACCTCGCCCATTCCTTCCCTGGGAACATCACACGGGCTGTGACTGTCCTCTCCTCTGGGCCAGCACAACCCACCCCTCCTCCCCTGGGGACTGTGAGTAACAGACTCGCTCTGCACCAGCGATGGGCTCCCCACCTGGTGATCGGACCACAGGCGAATAAAGCCCAAACAGTGGGGACATAGAAAATGCTGGGAGACAGAGACACAGGGAGAGTGGAAGAGAGAAGGAGGGAAAGAGAAAAAGAGAAACAAATACTTTAGGCAAAATGTAGGTGATCCTGGAAATAGAGAATTTGAAAGTTTATGCACTATTTTTGCATGCCTGCCTTGAGCACTGAACTGAGCATTATTTCTAATCCTACCACGCCAGTCACTGTGCTTTTTCCTAAGCAATTTTCTCCCCAGAAAACCTTCTTTCCCTCCTACTGGGCTTAGGTCCCCTCCATTGCAGGAAAACTGACAAATCAAGCTTGTCATGGACAGATGCTCAATGCCATTCATGAAATAGTATGTCACTTGTCTTCTCAGGGGTAAGAGGTCAAAAGGTCAAGCAGCAGACTCACCAATCACTGTAGAAGGCACTGACAAGGCCTCCATGCCTCCCTGCCCGAGACCAGTTCTGTCTCCTTCTCAAGGGTTGAGACGGAAAAATTGTTTGCATCATTTCCTTTCTGCTATCAGAGGTCACATATGCATGCTGAGTGCCTCCTCCATGGCAAGGAACATCTGGTCAATACTGATATAAAACATGAAAGGGCAAGATAGGCCTGAGTCTACAGGTGGGTTGCCATGGAAGCAGAATGGGCAATCACGGGAAGGAGTTGAAAACATGTGTGACCTGCACAGATGCCGTGTCATCTTGATGAGTGGTCCCCCTCTCCGTTTGGGTGGGAACATGACAACTGTGACAGGCCTGATACGGAGCGTTTGCCAGTTTCCATGGTGTAAATATTTCTACCAAAGCTGATTTCAAGCTACCAAGAGTATAACAAACAGCTCAAAAATACCCTGACCAATTAGCAATTGGCTCTGGCAAGTCTGTATCTTCGGGCACAGACCCAACAAAGCCCCCTCGGTTTCCTCTGGAGAGTTTCTTCCCTCAACTTGGGGTGACGTAGAGTGGGAAGCATGAGGTTCCTCTAACCTGCCTGGAACCAGCCCCTCCTGCTCACCAAGTGAAGACAAGCCTGACAGGTTACAGAGTAAATGCTCTGTGAGATCCTGCCCTCTGTCCCTCTCAGGAACAGGTTGGCCAGAAGCAGATCTAAGACAAGCATTTAGTAGAAGTTGTTTGTTTGGGAGGCGATTCCAAAAAGCACCAGCTGGAGTGTAGAGAAGGGAGACAGGGCGGGACCTGAATCAGAAAAGGAGGTGTCAATGAACACATCAATGAGGAAGGGGACAAAGGCTCAACCCAGCTGGGGACCTCGGACAGAGGGGTGAAACATCTGCAAGTGGGCCACCCAAGGAGGGAGGAGGTGTTTTTCCATCAAGTCCCCTCAGTGGTTAGTTGAAGCTGCTCCCTGGATTCAAACTCCCCAGTGCTTCCAGTCTGCCCCAGAGCAAAGGTCAGCTAGAGAACGGGGAGTGGGCAGGACATGGGCAGTGTCCGAAACACACAGGCAAGTAGACATGTGATCTGTGTGTCACTCTGTCTCTCACACCCTCATGCAGAGCTCTTCACCCTGATGGGCAAGATGCTTGTATTTAATGGTGCAAATTTTGTACCATGTGATCCCTAACACAAGCCCACTGCTTCAATCTGGGACCCAGCTGAAGAAACAGTTATGTGTCACAATGCCACAGGAAAAGCCAGGAGGGGCAGGCTGTTTCAGAATTAAGGACCAGAGGTACGTTCTGGGCATTGCACCTGCAGGCTCAGCCCTGAGACTGAACTGGGTCTCTGCGAGTGTTTAACAAGATGGGAAGCCTGGCCCCTCGTGGACTGTCAGCTCCATGCGAGCAGGAGCAACATTCCCACCAGCACTGCACCCACGGCAGGTCTCCTTATGTCCTATTGGGTGTTGGAGGAGGAGGGCAGGGGTGGGTGAAGGGCTCGGGAGGGACCCGAGGGTGGAGATGCTGTCCTGCAGCTCCTGGGGCTGCTGCCTCCCTGCCCTCCTGGAAGGAGCAGGGGCCTCACGCTTCTCCGTGTTCACAGGAGTGATCTCACATACACACACATAGATATACACACACATAGACACACACCCATACACAGACACTCACACATACACACAAACACATACACACCCCTAACAGGTCCTGGTAAGTCGGAAGAGGGGAGACAATTGAAAATGAAGGCTGAAGGAGTTGTTTTCACAAGATTTTATTTTTCAGATGCTGACACAGGGCAAAACATATCCCAAGAGGTCTTCCCTGAGCTTCTGATTCACCAAAAACCTCTATGAGGGAGTTATCTGCATATTGTTCAACTTTGGCCTGGGGAATGGAAATGGAGGTACTATTTCTGGAGCTAACTGTGGAGCAGGGAGATTGGTGGAGGGAACCACTGCCGGAGGCTCCTCTTGGAATTGAACGGTGATGAGCCAAATATTCGGAAACTCTTAAGCTGTGAACCAATAAAAACAGGTTTCTGGTAAGAACTGGGTGACAGTCTAGACATGATCCGTCCCTCCTCATCTGACATTCCATTTGTGGTGGACTCCAGGAATCTTGGGGTCCCAGTTCACCTCTGGCTGTGACCCTTGGCACATGCAGTTGAATCCCTATATCCATAAACAGATGAGGAAACTGAGGTCCACAGGAAGCCTGGGCCTTTCCAGGGTCCAAGCCCACCCCAGCAAAGCTGGATGGAACAGAAGCTGAAAGCCCATGAATCCAGTCAGTGCCTGGCATATTCACAACCCCCTGGAGGCTTTGTAAAAATCCAAATGACTGGGCCCCACCCCAGAGTCTGATCCAGGAGGTCTGAGTAGGGCCAAGAACCTACCTCTCTGTTAGTTTCTTCTTGGGGGCCCCGTTAGACAACACTGCTCTAAGATATGCAGAGCCAGGACTGGAGACCTAGGGCTTAGGGAGGCTGCGTCAAGGTATGCCGTGGACTAGGGAGGGAGTTATTGATCCAAAGCATGTTCCAAACACCACCGCATTGTTAGCTGCACACCGCAGAAGGGGCCACTCACCTCATAACGGCTTACATGAATGCATTGTTTCAATGGTCCATGGTGACTGTCACCCCATATTTTTTCACCACCTGGAGGAGGTTCAAGGTCAAACTGGAACTCCTCGGCTATAACTTCCCAGCCGCACCCCACTTCACCGCAGGGACTAGAAATTTTTCCCTGAAGTCCCCGGATCAGCTCCTGGAAAGCACCCTCCTTCAGTCCCAGGCCCCAGGCTCACTCCTTTCTCCTTGAAGTCACAGTGCTCTGGGGACTGCTGGCTCGTCCTGGGGCACACCGCCTCCTTCACCTTGAAGCTCACACGCTTCGGGTTGTCCAGGTCTTCATCCTGGTCAAGGATCAAAATAGGAAGACTGGACTTGGGCTCATGTTTCCTTCTCTGATCTGTCTCCCTGCCCCCACCCAGACGGCAGCCTCTCCAGCCCCCTGCCTGTCCGGCCCTGGGCTTGGTGCTGGGAGCCCAGGGGAGGGGACAGAGCCCGTCCCCAGCCTCACGGGCTCACAGAGAGCAGGAGCGGACCGCACAGCAAGGCTGAAGGAAATCAGGGCCGCCTGAAGGGAGAGTGCTTGTACCTGGAACCTCCAGGCTGACAGAGGCCTCCCTGGCAGGGAGACACCGCGGTGCAGAGGGGGCTTCAGCAGGGACGTCCCCTCACAGAGCCTGTGACCCCCTCCATCCCTGGAGCTCCCGGAAGTCCTGGGAGCCAGGTGTGCAGGGTGCCTGTTCCCACAGCAGAGATGCTAAGGCAGGAAGCCTGGGGCTGGCAGGGGACCCAGGTCTGGGAAGGTTTCCTGGAAGATGTGGGAGCCACCTAGAGGGCAAAGTGCCTTCCTGACAGGAGGAACAGCCTGAGCGAAGGGAGGGACAGTGTGACCAAGGCTGGGGGGAGATGGCTCCAGGAGAAGGTAGAGATTAGCTTCTGAGGACTTCTCAGTGGGCTGATCCACAGCATGAAGCACAGCCTCCCTGTAGCTGAGGGCCTGGGTGCTGGCCGAGGGCAGTACTAGTCCCAGCAGCAATAGCCACAGTGACCACCGTCCCAAGGAGAGGCTGGCCCTCTGGGTCTCCATGATCCCCAATCTGCCTCCTCCCAGCCCAAGGGACCCTCCTTTTATGCTCAGCCTGAGCCCTGATGCAAAGGTTCAACCAGGAGTCTTCCTGACCCACCCCATCCCTGCCCTCCTCCCAGGGTGTGAGCTGGTCTTACCTCACGCCTTGCTGTTGCCTCATGGGATTTCTGGGCAGTGGGCAGAGAAGCCCCTTTGCAAGGTGAAAAAATGGTTTCTCCATCTTCTGACAACTTCTTGGCCTCTCCTGGATCCCATAGGGAGTGTCACCAGTGGGCTTGCTCAAGAGGGTTGTGTCCTCCAGGAGACGGACCAGGCACTGTCTGCATCCCCTCTGCCTCCACACCATGGGCTCCTCAGCATTTAGGGTAAAGGAGTGTATTCAGCACTCAACCTCCAGCTCTAGGCACTGCCTGGCACACAGCATGCATTCACTTAACATTTGATGAGTGGATGACAGGACCAACCCCTTCTGAGCCTTACCCACTCAGCCTGTCCCTAGGCATCCATCAACCCCACACCATCCTGTCCTTGGGGCCAGCCCTCAGCCAGTCAGGAGCTTGGCTCCATCTGTCCCCTCTCCTAGATTCATCTCCACTGTTTCTCAGTGAAGAAGGTCGCCTCCATGTTGGAAGAGAATGGATGCATATATACAGATGGCTGAGTCCCTTTGCTGTTCACCTAAAGCTGTCATAACATGGTTTGTTAATCAGCTCCGCGTGCATGCATGCGTGCTTAGTCGCTTCAGTCGTGTCTGCCTCTTTGAGACGTTATGGACTGTGGCCTGCCAGGCTCCACTATCCATGGGATCCTCCAGGTAAGATTACTGGAGTGGGTTGCTTAGTTTTCCTCTAGCTTAATCAGCTATACTACAATACAAAATAAAAAACATAAAAAGTAAAGTCCTCCTTCACAGATACCACCCCCCAACAGACATTGCCTGTTCAGCTGACCCCTCCCCAATCAAACATGAGAAAGGTCATCTGCACTGTGACCCCAATTCAGTGCCCCCGCTCACATTCAAGGCTGGCCAGTCCTCATTGGATCTGCATTCACATTCAAGCCTTGTCTTCATCTCTACAGGCTTCGGGGACCCCCTGTCCTCCTGAACTTGCCCCTGACCGATTCTCCCCTGTCCCTGCTCTCCTGGGTCCCCTCCAACTCCCTGGGGGCTCCTGCTGAGTCTCCTCCAAGGACTCTCCTCTTAGGAGGCAGAGCTGGCTCAGGTGCATCCAGGCTGCTTCTCCTCCCAGTCCTCACACATTCCTGGGGACCGCCCTTGTCAAGACACCAGTGCCCATCACACACATACTGGGCTGTGCCTCTGGGTTCAGGACTCCCAGGAATGCCCTGGTTGTCTGCACTGGGCGGTTGGCTGGGTGCTGTCGCAGGAGCCCTGAGCTGGAAGCCTGGGAGCCCCACCTGCTCCTTCTTCCTCCTGAGGACACTCCCCTGACCTCCCACCACTCCTGCCCTGGTCCTACCCCCGTCTTCTCTCCTCTCAGTGAAGCCACAACCTCCAGATTCCATCTTCCCCAGTTACCAGGCTCTCCCTGACCAGTGTCCACCCTCCACATTATTTTCTAGGGCTCCAACACACCACCCATTTGACCATTTCACCCCTGCCTCCCGAGCCCACACCACCCCCACCTGGCATCAGGGCCTAGACGGTTGCTGTTCTTAGTTTTCCTCACCTCACAGGTGCAGGCCTCGGGTGTCAGGCTGCCCTGTCCACCCCAACCCCTCAGGCCCCTCGGAGCCTCCTGCCCATCTCCCATCTCTGCCCCTGATCCCTCTGCTTGCCCTGATCTTCCTCCTTGGGAAGCCTCCCCTGACGTCCAAGGAGACTCGGCACCTCCACCTCTTGGCTCCCACAGCCTTCAGGAAGTCTCTTCTGATTTGACCCCAAGTGACTTTCTGCCCCGTGCCCTGATTGGGATACCATGCTGGGGTGGCCAGTGTGCAGGGCGGGTTGAGAACACAGCTGGGAGGATAATGAACCAAAGGAATAGAGGGGCCACAGGCCGAGAAGGAAATTCTTGTACAGGTCTTGGGAGGAATGACCATGTAGTTGCGAGGTCTGGGGTAACTCTTGGGCTCAGTTGTTCCTATGGGACCCCTGGGGGCTTGGGCAGGGCCCCTCGGAAGGTGGCAGCTGGTTACACATCAGCCTTGGAGAAGGAAGAAGAGGTGAGCCTCTGATGTGGTTTCACAGTTTAGGTATTGCCTCAGAGGATTTTTGGTCAAAGATGGAAAAGGACGTGATTACAGGAGAAAATAATGAGCGACACGCGTGGTTACTGGTGTGTGGCACACTTCCTGTGCTTTCCTGACTCTGCATCATTGCATTTCCTAAACCTTAGCACTGAAGTCCCCTTCCCCATCCTTCCATGGGGACAGGTGGCTGCTCAGGGACGAGGTCTGATAAAGGAATCCACCTTGGAAAAGAACTTGGGAGCACTTGACCCATAACTGATGCTCCATAACAGCTGTTAATATCAGCAGGGCCAGAAGCTGCCCCCAGCAGCTACCCAGGTCCTTAGACTCCGGAATCAGGCAGACAGGGGTTTGAATCCTTGGTTTGCATCTCACCAGCTGCGACTTCCTTGCAAATATTCTGCTCTGGTGGAACTCTCAGCAGCAAGTGAAAGTAAATCCAATTCACATGGCCTCAGACACAACTGAGAAACCCCCATGGCTCCATTTTCCTGCAGTTCTCTCTCCAGGCTCTTGCTTAGAGAGAGAGAAGCAGGGGGAGAGGGAAAGGAGAGTGCAAATAGCAGCATCAGGAGTGGGAGGACCTCTGTGGCCGCAGTAGCTGTGCCCTGAGATGGTCGGACTGGACCCTGGGATCTCTGCCCACACCCCCTCCTAACCCAACAGAGGATCACCAGCCCAGTGATGGGAGCACAGTTCCCGGCAGAGGCTGCTACAAGACTTGTCACTACCTCGTCCCCATGCTGGGGCACCCACCTTTGCCAGTCCTCCTCTATCTCCCCTCCCAGTCTGGTTGAGCCAGATGTCCTTTCCCATCATGCTCTGCACTTAAACCCTAACTGGACAAAACACAGCCTCATCTGTGTTTATACATGTCCTCATTCCAGCCCAGAGCCCAAGACCTCCCAGCAGAGAGCAAAGTGGTGAAGAGAATGAGCAAGGCCAAGGCTGAGCGCCTTGACTTCCCATCCCTCCCTCTGCCCAATCTGCTGACCAGTGGTGTGAATGTAAAGCCAACTCTCACCAGCTGCCCTTCCTTCTCCTTGTCTGTAAAATGCACGGAAGGCCCTCCTCTCCTCCGTGGAGAAATTTTCCCCCTCTGACCTTGAAGCTGAGGGTCAGAGGGGTCAGTTTCCAGAGAGCCTTCTCCAACTCCTGGGGGGAAGAGCAGCTGCCCACTGCATACTACCCCTCAACATGCTTACTAGGAGAAAGCCCACACAGCACAATGCATTGTCGGGGTCTCCCCAGAAGTCCCACTCTTCAGAAGCCGCCCTCATGGACACTCACTCACATGGCTGAGGACAAAGGAACCAAGATGTCTTCTGCATCTTCTTTTAGCCTTAGGAACTGAAAACCTTCCAGACATGTGTAACTGGGAATGCTATGTCCATTCTGTGCCCGAGGGTGCAACCATTTAAAACCAATGATGTATAAATTCCACAAATATTTCTCAGTAGTGAAAGTAAATATATTCTGGTATATTCATACACTGGAATACTAGGTGGTAGTGGTTTAGCCGCTAAGTCATGTCCAACTCTTTGCGACCCCATAGACTGTAGACCGCCAGGCTCCTCTGTCCATGGGATTTTCCAGGCAGGAATACTGGAGTGGGTTGCCATTTCCTTCCCCAGGGGATCTTCCCCACCCAGGGATCAGTCCTGGGTCTCCTGCTTTGCAGATGGATTCTTTACCAACTGAGCTACCAGGGAAGCCCAGAATATTAAGTCAGCAATAAAAAATTGCCCAACTATAATTACATACAAAAACATGATGAGTTCTCACAAACATGTTGCATGAAAAAATTGTGCAAATGAGACTATATATGCTACAATATAATTTTGTATGAATTTTTCAAATCCTAGTTACATTAACCTAAGGGTTCCAAAGTCAGGGCCATGGTTATGGAGATGTTGCAGCAACTAGAAGGGAGATAAGGAGATTTCTAGGTGCAGTGCTACTGTGTTGTTTAGTCACTGAGACGTGTCTGGCTCTTTTGCAACCGCATGGACTATAGCCGGCCAGGCTCCTCCGTCCATGGGATTTTCCGGGCAAGAATATGAGAGTGGGCTACCATTTCCTCCTCCAGGGGATCTTTCTGATCCAAGGATCAAACTCACATCTCCTGAACTGACAGGCAGATTTTTCCCCACTGAGCCACCAGGGAAGCCCTTCTAGGTTCATTACACAAAGGTGTTTGTACAGCAAAAACTCTACAAGTTGTGCACTTATTGTTAGTGCCCAATTCCTACGTACATACAATATGTCAACTCCCTGGGCTTCTTCAACTACTGTGCTACTCTGACCACTTTGTAAAATCCTTGATTCTCCTGGGCTTACAGCACAGCCCCAACCCTCCCACCTCTTGTAACACCACACTGGACACCTTGGGTCCTTCTCCACATCAGGCCCCATACTTGATTCACTGACAAAGCCTGCTGACCTCCCAGCCAGGGGCCAATTACATCTCCCTTCTCAGGGACTGAAATGAAATACATTCATTTTTTGTTGCTGTAAGCAGTGTTCACATATGCGAGTTCATGGTCAGGTCTGGGGCATGGAGGGACCTGAGAATAAAGATGCTGTCCTGGTTCTCTTAGCCTGCTGCCTGCCCCCCATCCCCTCCTGGTTGTTACAGGAGGTTGTTGTAATGGTTGTTACAGAAATAACAACCATTTCTGTACTGTGCATTTGTGATCTCACACACACACACATACACACACTAAACCCACACACTCTCACAGAGACACACATACACACACACACACACACACACACACACACACACACACACAGGAGGGCTCCCAGAGGTAAGGATCTGGCCCCTCTAAGTGAGAGAAGACAAGTGAAATTAAAGCTTGGAGGAAGTTGTTTTCAGAAGACTTTACTTTCTCAGAATCCAAAAGCCTGAGCCAGGGAGGACACGCATAGGATTCTTCCATGGGCTCGCAATTTACCCAAGACTGAGTAGCGGGAGGTACGGAGAAACTTTCTTAATGTATTTTCGCAGCTTCTTACGAAATCGTTTAAATCTCCCAACACTCTGCAACTATGAACCAGGAAGAGCCAGGTTACTTGTGGGAAAGGGAACCAGGGTTAAGAGCAGACCCATCTGAACCATACACCAGCCCCCAGGCCCATACTAGGAGATTTGGGGCCCCAGGGTGCCCTCTGGCTGCAACCTTTGAAGCACAAGGTTGAATCCCGACACCTAGAGACAGAACAGCAAACTGAGGCCCTCGAGTGACAAGGGGCTCCCAGGGTCACAGGCCCATCCCAGCGAAGGTGGAAGGGAGCTGGGGCTAAAACATCATTACTTGAGTCAGTGCCTCTCAAACCGTCAGAATCCCCTGAAGGCCTTGTGAAAAGATAAATGGCTGCACCCCACCCCAGAGTCTGAATCAGGAGGTCTGAGTTGAGCTGAGAATCTGCATCTCTGTCAGTTCCTAAGTGGGGACCCCACTAGAGAACCACTGCTCTAAGAGACACAACCACTGCTGGAGACCTGGGGCTCGCGGGAGGGAGTGGCCAGGGTATGAGCGCCCGCCTCTGCCCTGGATGGGGAAGGGGGTTTTGGTCCTAAGGGTGTTCCACAACCCATCACCCTAGCAGTTCCTGCAGTACAGAAGGAGCCACTCACCTCCTCACAGGTGATGTCCATTTTGCCTTTCACCACGTCCAGAGTGACTGTCCCCACACACTGCTTCACCAGCTGGAAGGAGAGGCTGGAGGTCAAACTGGAACCGCTGGGCCATAATCTTCCAGGCTCAGCCCAGGGACTAAAAAGCCCCTTGTTCAGCAGCTTGGGAAGCATTCAGCCACATCCCCAGCCCCCAGGCTCACCCCATTCTCCTTGAAGTCACACTGCTCCGGGGACTGCTGGCTTGTCCTGGGACACACGGTCTCCTTCACCCTGAAGCTCACAGGCTTCGGGACATTTGGGTTCTCATCCTGATCCAGGAATAAAATGGGGAGACTGGGCTCGGGCTCAAGTTTCCTTCTCTGATCTGTCTCCCTGCCCCCACCCAGACGGCAGCCTCTCCAGCCCCCTGCATGTCCGGCCCTGGGCTTGGTGCTGGGAGCACAGGGGAGAGGACAGAGCCTGTCCCCGGCCTCACGGGCTCACAGAGAGCAGGAGCGGACCGCACGGCAGCGCTGAGGGCAGCGCCTCCCCGCAGAGGGGCTGGGGGAGGTCAGGGCCACCTGCAGGGAGAGCGCTTGTACCTGGAACCTCCAGGCTGACAGAGGCCTCCCTGGCAGGGAGACACCGTGGTGCAGAGGGGGCTTCAGCAGGGACGTCCCCTCACAGAGCCTGTGACCCCCTCCATCCCGGGAGCTCCCGGAAGTCCTGGGAGCCAGGTGTGCAGGGTGCCTGTTCCCACAGCAGAGATGCTAAGGCAGGAAGCCTGGGGCTGGCAGGGGACCCAGGTCTGGGAAGGTTTTCTGGAAGATGTGGGAGCCACCTAGAGGGAGAAGTGCCTTCCTGACCGGAGGTACAGCCTGAGTGAAGGGGGTGACAGTGTGGCCAAGGCTGGGGGCAGACAGCCCCCTCCCCGCCCTATTCCCCAACTCACGTCCTTGAAAGGCGGGTCTAGCTCCAGGAGGCGGTAGAGATTAGCTTCTGAAGACCTCTCATTGATGCGATCCACAGCGTGAAGCACAGCTTCCCTGTAGCTGAGGACCTGGGCACAGGCCGAGGGCAGCACTAGTCCCAGCAGCAGTAGCCACAGTGACCACCGTCCCAGGGAGAGGCTGGCCCTCTGGGTCTCCATGGTCCCCAAACTGCCTCCTCCAAGACTGCAGGATTGGCCTTTATGCTCAGCCTGGGCCTAATGCAGTGGCTCAACCAGGAGTCTTCCTGACCCACCCCATCCCTGCCCTCCTCCCAGGGTGTGAGGTGGACTTGCCTCAGCCCCTGCTGTTGCTTCATGGAATTTCTGAGCAGTGGGCAGGGAGGCCCCTGTGCAAGGTGAAGAAATGATTTCTCCATCTCCTGACAACCTCTTGGCCTTTCCTGAACCCCATGAGGAGTGTCACAGGCAGTCTTACTCAAGAGGATTAAGTCCTCCAGGAGATGGAGGAGCCAGGCACTATCTATATCCCCTCTGCCTCCACACCTCAGGATTCAGTGTAAAGGAGTGTATTTGCTATTCAACCTGCTTCACTGAATACATTAAAGACTCTGACTGTGAGGACCATAACAAGCTGTGGAAAATTCTGAAAGAGACGGGAACACCAGACCACCTGACCTGCCTCCTGAGAAACCTGTATGCAGGTCAAGAAGCAAGTTAGAACTGGACATGGAACAATGGGCTGATTCCAAATTGGTAAATGAGTACATCCAGGCTGTATATTGTCACCCTGCTTATATAACTTATATGCAGAGTACATCATGCAAAACACTGGGCCAGATAAAGCACTAGCTAGAACCAAGGTTGCCAGGAGAAATATCAGTAATCTCAGATATGCAAATGATACCATCCTTACGGCAGGAAGTGAAGAGGAACTAAAGAGCCCCTTGATGAAAGTGAAAGAGGAGAGTGAAAAACAGGTTTAAAACTCAACATTGAAAAAATTAAGATCATGGTATCTGGACACATCACTTCATGGCAAGTAGATGGGGAAGCAGTGGAAACATTGACAGACTTCATTTTCTTGAGCTCCAAAATCACTGTGAGTGGTGACTGCAACCATGAAATTAAAAGACGCTTGCTCCTTGGAAGAAAAGCTATGACAAACCTAGGTAGCGTATTTAAAAGCAGAGACATTACTTTGCCGGCAAAGGTCCATCTAGTCAAAGCCATGGTTTTTCCAGTAGTTACGTATGGATGTAAAAGTTGGACCATAAAGAAGGCTGAGCAGCAAAGAATTGATGCTTTCGAACTGTGGTGTTGGAGAAGACTCTTGAGAGTCCCTTGGACTGAAAGCTCAAACCAGTCAATCCTAAAGGAAATCAGCCCTGAATATTCATTGGAAGAACTGATGCTGAAACTGAAGCTCCATTATTTTGGCCACCTGATGAGAAGAGCCGACTCACTGGAAAAGACGTTGATGCTGGAAAGATTAAAGGCAGGAGGAGAAGGGGACAACGAAGGACAAGATGGTTGGATGGCATCACCGACTCAATGGACATGAGTTTGAGCAAACTCTGGGAGACAGTGAAGGACAGGGAAGCCTGGCGTCCATGGGGTCACAAAGAGTAGGACACAACTGAGTGACTGAACAACAACCCCTCCTCTAGGCACCCAGTAGGCACAGAGGTAAAGTTGGATGAGTGGATGACAGCTCCAATCCCTTCTACAGTCTCACCCATCTAGCCTGTCCTTAGGCAGTCACAAGGTCAGACCATCCTCTTCTTTCTGCAACCCTCAGCCAGTCAGGGTGTCGGCTTCACCTGTCCCCTCTCCTACTCTTCTCCTCTGCCTTCCTCACACTAAAGATGTCAGCAGTTGTGGCCTGTTGGCTACACTCAACCTCTTTATCTTCACAGGTGCTGGGGAAACACTGTTTCTTCCTGAAAATGCCCTCTGCCCATCTCCCCTGTCCCTGCTCTCCTGGGTCCCCTCCCTGGGGGCTCCTGCTGAGTCTCCTCCAAGGACTCTCCTCTTAGGAGGCAGGGCTGGCTCAGGCACATCCAGGCTGCTTCTCCTCCCAGTCCTCACACATTCCTGGGGACGGCCCTTCTCAAGACACCAGTTCTCGTGAACACGCATCACTGCTCTGTCTCTGGGTTCAGGACTCCCATGAACGTCCCGGTTGTCCACACTGGACTGACGGCGGGGTGCTGCTGCAGGAGCCCTGAGCTGGAAACCTGGGAGACCCACCTGCTCCTTCTTCCTCCTGAGGACATTCCCCTGACCTCCCGCCACCCCTGCCCTGGGCCTACGCCGTCTTCTCTCCTCTCAGTGAAGCCACAACCTCCAGACTCCAAGTTCTCTGATTTTCAGGTTCTCCCACACCACGATTCTCCCTGCATACCAATTTCTAGGTGCTAAGATAAAATGCTGATTTGACCATTGTATCCCCTGATTTCAGAATACAGATTCCAGCTTGGCAGTCGGGTCTGAACCTTGACCATCCCATTGTCCACAGTGGGGATATCCCTCCAGTTCTCAGGTGTCAGGGTGCCCCACCCACCCCAACAACAAGCCACCTTGGAGCCTCCTGCTCTCGTCCCATCTCTGCACCTGATCCCTCTGCTTGACCTGCCTTCCACCTTGAGAAGCCTTCCCTGACCCCAACCACACAAGGAAACTCCTCCTCTTGGCTCGCAGAGACTTCAGGACATCCCTTCTGATTTTACCCCAGTGCTCCGGTTGGACACCGATGGGGGTGGGGGGCGGGGCCCACTGGGAGGACAAGAGAGCACAGCTGGGAGAAACAGTGTGCCCAAGAGACAGAGGAGTCCTGAGACCATGAAGCCCATTCTAATCCATCACCAGCATCACTAATCCATTCTAATCCTCATGTGCCCAGGAGGCCTGGGGTGGCTCGTGGACTCAGTTGTCCTGTGGGACCCTTGGGGGCTTGGCCAGGCCGCCTTGGATGGTGGCAGCCTGGATGGACGGTGCTGGATGCCCGCTCAGTCTTGGAGAAAGAAAGAAAGTTGGGCTTTGTGAAACCTGGTTACACAACCCAGATGTTGCCTTGGTCAAGCTGTATCCTTTTCCCAAGTCAGAGGAGGAAGGGGAGATGATTACAATAGAAAATAGCTAGCAATACACATGGTTACTGAAATTCCAACTCTATGGGCCTCTTGACCTCCTGTACCAGTCCGAGCGCTTTGCGAAACCCTCAAGCCCCTCGGCTTACTGCACTGCCCCGACCCCACCCCGCTCTGCACCACCACCCTGGACTCCTGAGGCCCTTCTCTCCTATCTGTGCATCAAGCCCCATACCTGGCCTGTCTGAGACGAGTGGACGGACCCTGCAGCGCTCCGCTGTCGTCACAGCCTGTGTCCTCTAGAAGCAGGACCTCGGCATGTGCACTTTGAGGGGGGTGGTCATAAGGAGGGAGGGAGAGGGGAGGAGAGGGAAGAGGAAGGAGCTGAGCAGAGAGGTGCTCACCTCGAGACAAGCCTCAGCCTCACCCACAAAAACCCTGGAACTGAAAGTGCACCCCTGCTTTAGGACTGGCTGAGGTGGGAGCCGGGTATTTTGGTCCCCTCACAGTCACATCCACAGGCCGAGTGCAGAGAGGACACAAGCCAAGCATGCCGCGAACTGATGCCCAGTGCCTTCGTGAAATAGTCTGTTACCTGTTTTCTCAGAGGTAAAAGGTCAAAAAGGTCAAGCAGCTGACTATCTCACCAATCACTGTAGAAGGCACTGATAAGGCCTGCACACCTCTCTGCCCAGAACCATGTCTCCTTCTCACGGGTTGAGATGGAAAAATTGTTTGCATCATTTCCTTTCTGCTATCAGTGGTCACATATGCATGTTTAGGGTCTGGTCCATAGCAAGGGACATATGGTCAACACTGATGCAAAACTGGACAGACATGACAGACCTGAGGCTGGGGACCTCAGGCAGAGGTGTGACACTTCTGGGAGTGGGCCACCCAAGGAGGGAGGAAGAAGAGGTGTTTTTCCATCAAGTCCCCTCAGTGGTTAGTTGAAGCTGCTCCCTGGATTCAAACTCCCCAGTGCTTCCAGTCTGCCCCAGAGCAAAGGTCGGCTAGAGAACGGGGAGTGGGCAGGACATGGGCAGTGTCTGAAACACACAGGCAAGTAGACATGTGACCTCTGTGTCACTCTGTCTCTCACACCCTCATGCAGAGCTCTTCACCCTGATGGACAAGATGGCTTGTATTTAATGGTGCAAATTTTGTACCATCCACGACCCAGACAATGGGTCACAATCACGACAATGGTGTGATCACTCACACTCACCTAGAGCCAGACATCCTGGAATGTGAAGTCAAGTGGGCCTTAGGAAGCATCACTACGAACAAGCTAGTGGAGGTGATGGAGTTCCAGTTGAGCTATTTCAAATCCTAAAAGATGATCCTGTGAAAGTGCTGCACTCAATATGTCAGCAAATTTGGAAAACTCAGCAGTGGCCACAGGACTGGAAAAGGTCAGTTTTCATTCCAATTCCTAAGAAAGGCAATACCAAAGAATGCTCAAACTACCGCACAATTGCACTCATCTCACACGCTAGTAAAGTAATGCTGAAAATTCTCCAAGCCAAGCTTCAGCAATATGTGAACCATGAACTTCCAGATGTTCAAGCTGGTTTTAGAAAAAGCAGAGGAACCAGAGATCAAATTGCCAACATCCACTGGATCATCGAAAAAGCAAGAGAGTTCCAGAAAAACATCTATTTCTGCTTTATTGACTATGCCAAAGCCTTTGACTGTGTGGATCACAATAAACAGTGGAAAATTCTGAAGGAGATGGGAATACCAGACCACCTGACCTGCCTCTTGAGAAACCTGTATGCAGGTCAGGAAGCAACAGTTAGAACTGGACATGGAACAACAGACTGGTTCCAAATAGGAAAAGGAGTACGTCAAGGCTGTATATTGTCACCCTGCTTATTTAACTTATATGCAGAGTACATCATGAGAAACGCTGGGCTGGAAGAAGCACAAGCTGGAATCAAGATTGCCGGGAGAAATATCAATAACCTCAGATATGCAGATGACACCACCCTTATGGCAGAAAGTGAAGAAGAACTAAAGAGCCTCTTGATGAAAGTGAAAGAGGAGAGTGAAAAAGTAGGCTTAAAGCTACTGCAGAAAACTAAGATCATGGCATCTGTTCCCATCACTTCATGGCAAATAGGTGGGGAACAGTGGAAACAGTAAGAGACCGTATTTTGGGGCTCCAAAATCACTACAGATGGTGACTGCAGCCACGAAATTAAAAGACACTTGCTCCTTGGAAGGAAAGTTATAACCAACCTAGACAGCATATTAAAAAGCAGAGACATTACTTTGTCAACAAAGGTCCATCTAGTCAAGGCTATAGTTTTTCCAGTAGTCATGTATGGATGTGAGAGTTGGACTATAAAGAAAACTGAGTGCAGAAGAATTGATGCTTTTGAATTGCGTTGTTGGAGAAGACTCTTCAGAGTCCCTTGGACTACAATGAGATCCAACCAGTCCATCCTAAGGGAGATCAGTCCTGGTTGTTCATTGGAAGGACAGATGTTGAAGCTGAAACTCCAATATTTTGGCCACTTAATGTGAGGAGCTGACTCATTTGAAATGACCCTGATTCTGGGAAGGATTGAAGGCAGGAGAAGGGGACGACAGAGGATGAGATGGTTGGATGGCATCACCAACTCAATAGACATGGGTTTGGGTAGACTCCAGCAGCTGGTGATGGACAGGGAGGCCTGGCATTCTGTGGGTCATGGGTCGGACCCGACTGAGCGGCTGAACTGAACTGAACTGATCCCTAAACACAAGCCCACCACTTCAATCTGGGACCCAGCTGAAGAGACAGTGATGTGTCTCAGTGCCACAGGAAAAGCCAGGAGGGATGGGCTATTTCAAAATTAAGATTGTTGAGGGCAAGAGGTACATCCTGGGCATTGCACCTGCAGGTTTATCCCTGAGACCTAACTGTGACTCTGTGAGTGTTTAACAAGGTGAGAATCCTGGCCCTTTATGGACTGTCAGCTCCACGTGAGCTGCAGCAGCAGCCCCACCAACACTGCACACACAGCAGGTCTCCTTACATCCTACTGGGTGTTGGAGGAGGAGGGCAGGGGAGGTGAAGGGTTCGGGAGGGACCTGAGGGTAGAGATGCTGTCCTGGAGCTCCTGGGGCTGCTGCCTCCCCAGTGCCCTCACGCTTCTCCGTGTTCACAGGAGTGATCACACACACATACACAGACACAAGCACACAGGAGTGATCACACACATACACATACAGAAGTGATCAAACACATACACACACACACATACACACACCCGACACAGAGGGCCTCCCAGAGTAAACAACTCAGTCACGATAAGTGGGAGAAGGGGAGACAATTTAAACTGAGGCCTGGAGGAAGTTGTTCTCACAAGAGTTTATTTCTCGGAGTCCAGAAGTCTTTACCAGGGCCGGCAGACCCTTAGGACTCTTTCCTGGGCCCATAATTCACCCAATTAATCTGATTATTGGGACAATAATTGGGCCATACCTCTTCCAACCACGTGCTATGTTCTTAACCAGCCTCCGAAGTCCCCCGACACTCTGGGGCTGTGCAACGAGAAGAAACAGGTTACTGTGGAGGGAGGGACCCGGGGTAAGACCAAAACCCTCCCCACTCAGACATCCCCACTAACTGGACAATTTCAGGAGGTTTTAGGGCCCAGGCACCCTCTGGCTGCAACCGTTGGAGCTTCTGGTTGAATCTCCACACCACAGACATATGAGGAATCTGAGGCCCACAGATGACATGGGGCTTTCTGGGGTCACAAGCCCATCCCAGCAAAGCTGGACAACAGCAGGGGCTGACAGCTCATGACTCAAGTCAGTGCCTCTCAAACTTCAGCACAGTCAGAATCCCCTGGAGGCCTTCTGAAAATACAAATGGCTGGACCCCACCCCAGAGTCGGATTTAGGAGGTCTCAGTGGGGCTGAGAATCTGCCTCTCTGTCAGTTCCCAGATGGGGATTGCAGTAGAGAACCACTGCTCTAAGGGATGCAGAGCCAGGGCTGGAGACCTGGGGCTTGGGGGAGGGAGGGGCCCTAGTAGGAGGGACTTTCCCTGCCCTGGATGGGGCAGCGAGTCATTGGTCCAAAGGATGTTTGACACACTACCCCCTAGATGCTTCGCAACCCAGGAGGGGTCACTCACCACAGCACAGGTGATGTCAAAGTTGCTCCCGACCTGGTCCAGGGTGACTGTCCCCACACACTCTTTCAGCAGCTGGAAGGGGAGGCTCCAGGTCAAACTGGAAAGCCTGGGTCATAACCTCCCAACTTCACCTCACCTCACACCCCAGGGCTGGAGATCTTCCCTGAAGGTCCCTGCTTAGCTCCCCGAGAAGCATTTATCCCAGCCCTCAGCCTCCAGGCCCCAGGCTCACCCCATTCTCCTTGAAGTCGCACTGCTCCGGGGGCTGCTGGCTCGTCCTGGGGCACACGGTCTCCTTCACCCTGAAGCTCACAGGCTTCGGGACATTTGGGTTCTCATCCTGATCCAGGAATAAAATGGGGAGACTGGGCTCGGGCTCAACCCAGGTCTGGGAAGGTTTCCTGGAAGATGTGGGAGCCACCTAGAGGGCAAAGTGCCTTCCTGACAGGAGGAACAGCCTGAGCGAAGGGAGGGATAATGTGACCAAGGCTGGGGGGAGATGGCTCAGCCCCCTCCCCAACTCACATCCTCCTCGGGAGGCGGGTCTAGCTCCAGGAGTCGGTAGAGATTAGCTTCTGAGGACTTCTCATTGAGCTGATCCACAGCACGAAGCACGGCCTCCCTGTAGCTGGAGGCCTGGGCGCTGGCCAAGGGAAGCACTAGTCCCAGCAGCAGTAGCCACAGTGACCACCGTCCCAGGGAGAGGCTGGCCCTCTGGGTCTCCATGGTCCCCACTCTGCCTCCTCCCAGCCCAAGGGACCCTCCTTTTATGCCCAGTCTGGGCCCTGATGCAAAGGTTCAACCAGGAGCCTTCCTGACCCACCCCATCCCTGCCCTCCTCCCAGGGTGTGAGCTGGACTTGCTTCAGCCCCTGCTGTTGCCTCACAGGACTGCAGGGCAGCGAGCGAATTTTGTCTTCTGTGCAAGGTGAAGAAATGGTTTCTCCATCTCCTACAATACCTTGGCCTACCCTGGACCCCATGGGAAGTGTCACAGGCGGGCTTGCTCAAGAGGGTTGGGTCCTCAGGAGACGGGGGAACCACACACTGTCTACAACCCCTCTGACCCCACACTCTGGTCTCCTCAGGATTCAGGGTAAAGGAATGTATTCACCTTTCAACCTCCACCTCTAGGCGCTGCCTGGCACCCAGTAGACAGTCACTTAACACTTGAAGCATGGATAACAGTACCAACCCCTTCTAGAAGTACCCTTTCTACTTACGTTTCCAGCCTGTCTCTAGGCAGACATCCATCCCACACTATTCAGTCCTCTGGAACCAACCCTCAGCCAGTCAGGGGTTTGGCTCCATTCGTCCCCTCTCCTGGATTGTTCGCCACCTCCTTTTTCACTCTAAAAATGTCCTACCCCAAGTCCCTAGCAGATATGGCCTGTGTCCCTGATACCTCCCATCCCAGTCTGAAGAAGAGTCATGTAGGTCACTGACTGCACTTTTTTGCCCTCTCTCATGCTCAAGTCCCCGGCAGGCTTGCTTCCTTGCTTGATCCAAAAGTCACACTCAAGCTTTGTGTTTATCTATACAGACTCTGGGCATCACTCTGTCCTCCTGAAATTCCCCCTTAGCCGATTCTCCCCTGTCCCTGCTCTCCTGGGTCCCCTCCTCCCTGGGGGCTCCTGCTGAGTCTCCTCCGAGGACTGTCCTCTTAAGAGGCAGGGCTGGCTCAGGTGCATCCGGGCTGCTTCTCCTCCCAGTCCTCATACATCCCTGGGGACGGCCCTTCTCAGGACACCAGTTCTCCTGGACCCGCATCACTGCTCTGTATCTCTGAGTTCAAGACAGCTATGAATACCCCCAGTTGTCCACACGGGACAGTTTGGTTGTACCTCAGAAAGTGGTAACCCAGATGGATGGCACTGGCTGTGAAACAGAGCTTTGGTCTTTAATCTTTCCCTGCATCAGTTTCTTTCCCAATGATGCTTGCCACCCTACCATGTCTTCTGTCTGTCTTTTAGCTATGGAAAACTTTAGTCAAAGGATAAATTTAATCTGAGAAGTGAGAAATGCTGAAACAAAGGAAAACCAGTCAAAGGAGACTAAATAATGCAGTCATTAAGCACAGTCAAGGACCTTTAGTTCTTTCCCAGGGGCTGTGGATAATATTGAGTGTATCCTGTGAGCTGTCTTGCAGATGCCAAAACCCCAGGTGGAGAAGTTAACTACACGCTGACCAGACTGTTCCCAGGACATGAGCTGCCACAGTTCCAAGAATTGATTGCAAAGAAATGGGATCAAACGGACTCTGGAACTGAAGATTAACTGTACCTAAAACAATCAAGATGATGCTGGTCAGACCACTGATGACCAATTTGAAGATGACTGTTAGAGATGACTGTGCTGTTTCTACATGTAGCCCCTCACCCCCAACTCTTGTCTATTAATGCTCTCAACACCCCACCACCCCCTGCTTGTCTGGGTGGGCAGAGGCGGGGAAGTCGGCCTTTGGACGTATGTCCACCACCCTCCCCGCACAGTTACTGGCACCTGAAATAAACTAAACTTTCCTTTTCACCAATCTGGCCTGTTTATTGGCTTTTGAGCGGTGAGCAGCTGGAACCCACACACACATTCCTTTCAGTAACAGCTGCATATCAGCCTTGGGAAAAGGAGAGAAATCACCATAACAACTCGTGTATGAACAATCTTCACGTCTGTTACTTTGTGAACCACTCAGAAAGATCACCAGAGATATTCAAACTGCAATCCAAGAAAACCTATTAGATTGCCACTGTCTGCTCTCACTCCATTTAAAGAGGTTTCAAGCCCAACACCTACAAATCTGGAATTATAATCAGCTCCAATCACTGCTGCTGTTCAGTCGCTAAATTGTCTCTGACCCTTTGCAACTCCATGGACTGCAGCACGCCAGGCTCCTCTGTCCTCCACTGTCTCCCGGAGTTTGCTCAAATTCATGTCCAATGAGCTGGCGATGCTATCTAGTCATCTCATCCTCTGCCTTCTCCTTTTGTCTTTGATCTTTTTGTCCCTGCATTAGGTTCTTTCCCAATGCATCAGCTCTTCACTGATCCAATTGCTGACCTTTGTTTTAATTTTTTTTCTTTTGATTGTTTCCATAGAAGTGCTTTTAACTGAATATCTGATTGCTTGCATTCTGTAGGCCTATTAGGTGAAGCCATTCGCATCACTGCCTCCTAAAATGAGACACAACCTTTTACCTAAACTGATCTTTCCTCCAGACTAAGAGACTGGTTCAGTGAGATATGGAGGAATTTACCCTCTCTGGACAGACTCAAACCTGTTTCACAGGATGGCCCCGTATATAGGTCAGTGATCTTGAAGGCCCCTGGAATTTGTTCAAGGATTTACATAATATTGTGGAGTATTTTCCTGTTATCATGGTTGAAACCTTCAAGTTTGGGACAACGGCTCTAGAGTAGACTTCAGACTATTGCCTAATAATTATTATAAGATTTACTACTATAATTCTATGTAGCCGTGAGTTTCTAGGTTTTAACCCCTGCTCTGTAACATATCAACAACCCAAGTAGTTAAGGTTCTCACCATTGGCTCTGAAGCCTGGGCATCACTTAGTAGATTGTAGTGTAAACCCTGACTGCTGATCTTTTTTTTTTCCTTTCTTTCTTTTCTTTTTTGTAATGCAAATGCATACCTTAAGCTCTAACTGCCAGGCATCCACTTCAAAGTTCATCTTCAATAAACACTGTCAGCCACCTCCCCCTACAGAGGCTCCTTTGTTTCTGATTTCTTTAACTGCCCCTTTGGGCCACTTGTTTTTCCTCTTGCTGCACTTTAAATGCCTCCACTTGTATTATACATTCACAATAAAAAGTGAGCCCTTAGGACATGAGTTTGAGTAAACTCCGGGAGTTGGCAATGGACAGGGAGGCCTGGTGTGCTGCAGCCCATGGGGTCACAAAGAGTCGGACACAACTTAGTTACTAAACAGCAACAACACAATAACACTGACCTTCCCAAAGGGGAGAGTTCAGGGTCTCAACCAGAACTTTCTGTGATGAAGGAAATATTCTACACCCATGCTATCCAGTATGGCAGCCATTAAACACGTGTGACTATTCAGCACTTGAAATGTATCTTGTGTAACTGAGCAACTGACTTCCTAGCTTAATTTTCATTCCTTTCAATTTAAATAGCCATCTGGGTATAGAACAGTGGTAAAGATCCTTTTTTCCTTGGTCTTTTTACAAAATTTTTCTCCTCCTTTATATCTCCATATTCCAAGGTGTTTATGGCAAAAGCATGGCCTTTGACAACCCCAAACTTTGTCTGGCCTTGCCCACTTAGCTCAGGACAAAAAGAACCTCTCAAGACTTGCAGAAACTGGCTGCTCTCCAGTCCACATGGACCAGAACAAAGCAACTTGCTCAAGACACTAAACTACCCACAGACAGCTGTCAGGCTGAGGTTCCAGCCTTTCCCAGCTTCAGCTGACCCTCTCAACCCCCCTCTTCTCCTGCAGATTGCGGAAGGACAACCAGGAGCCATTTTGAAAAGGACAAACTATGACACTTATGGGGCTTCCCAGGTGGCTCACTGGTAAAGAATCCACCTGTCAATGCAGGAGATGCAGGTTTGATCCCTGGGTCAGGAAGATACTCTGGAGGAGGAAATGGCAACCCACTCCAGGATTCTTGCCTGAAAAATCCCAGGGACAGAGGAGCCTTGCAGGCTACATACAGTCCATGGGGTTGCAAAGAGTCGGACACGACTGAGCACACACACTCTGACACTAACATGTATCCCAGAAATTCGACATCTAGGTATTTACCATCAAGAAATGAAAGCATTCTTGCATACAAAAACTTGTACAAGAATGTTGATGATAGTCAAAACCCAGCAACAGCCTAGACATCCTTCAGCAAGTTCATCAACAGCCGACGTTCACATGATGGAATACTAACTGCCAGTAAAAAAGAATGAACTGTTGATACACGCATTGAGAATGAACCTCATAAACATTATGTTAGATATTGTCATAAATGAAAGAAGTCAGATGCAAAAGACCTCATATTGCATGATTCTATTTATATGAAACCTCCAGAAAAGGCAAAGTTCAGTTCAGTTCAGTTCAGTTCAGTCACTCAGTCGTGTCCAACTCTTTGAGACCCCATGAATCACAGCATGCCAGGCCTCCCTGTCCATCACCAACTCCCGGAGTTTACTCAAACTCATGTCCATTGAGTTGGTGATGACATCCAGCCATCTCATCCTCTGTCGTCCCCTTCTCCTCCTGCCCCCGATCCCTCCCAGCATCAGGGTCTTTTCCAATGAATCAACTCTTCGCATGAGGTGGCCAAAGTACTGGAGTTTCAGCTTCAGCATCAGTCTTTCCAATGAACACCCAGGACTGATCTCCTTTAGGATGGACTGGTTGGATCTCCTTGCAGCCCAAGGGACTCTCTCAAGAATAGCGAGGAGAGATAAGAAAGCCTCCCTCAGCAATCAATGCAAATAAATAGAGAAAAGGCAAAAGGGTAGTGCAAAAAGTAGGAAATAGATCAGTGGCTGCCAGGGCCACGGGTTAGCAAAACAAGATTGACGGCAAAGGGAATGCTTGGGGTGATGAAAACGTTCTACCTCTTGATTTGGTGGTGGCTCAGATTTACATGGTGGCTCAGACAGTCAAGAGTCTGCCTGCAATGTAGGAGACCAGGGTTCGATCCCTGGGTTGGGAAGATACCCTGGAGAAGAATATAGCAACTCATTCTAGTATTCTTG